TTTAAAGATTTTATTTATTTACTTGAGAAAGTGAGAATGAGAGAGAGAGAGAGAGAGAGCATATGAGAGGGAGGAGGGTCAGAGGGAGAAGCAGACTCCCCGCTGAGCAGGAAGCCTGATGTGGGACTCGATCCCGGGACTCCAGGATCATGACCCGAGCCGAAGGCAGTCGCTTAACCAACTGAGCCACCCAGGCGCCCCGCTACAACCTTTCTAAATGGCAATATGTATCAAAAATCTTACACTTAGCATGAACTGTACTTTGATCCTGCAAATCCACTTCTAGAAACTTACCCTACAGAAATAAAAAAATCTCACAAGTATACACAGATGTGTACATAGGAAAATACTCACTGCAGAGTTATAACAGTGGGGGAAAAGGAAACAAACTAATGTCTGATAAAAATTAATTGGTTAAATTATCACAGACATAAAATGGAATCTTATTCAGTTATTAAACTATTATAACTGACAATATAGACATGGAAAGATTCATGGTAACATGTTAAGCCAAAAAAGAAGTTACAAAATAATCATGTATGGCAAGTCCCATATTTGTTGCCAAAAATTGTATATAAAAAGCCACATGCACATACAAAAGAGGGTTTAGAGAGATATGTACTGAAGTAGTGGATTTATGAGTATTTTATAGTTTTTACTTTTCTGTATTTCAATTTTTCTACCATAAAGATGCAATTCTTTAAAATACAAGGGATAGGGGCGCCTGGGTGGCTCAGTCGGTTGAGTGGCTGCCTTCGGCTCAGGTCATGATCCCGGGGTCCTGGGATCGAGCCCCGCGTCGGGCTCCCTGCTCAGTGGAGAGTCTGCTTCTCCCTCTCCCTCTGCCTGCTTCTCTGCTTACTTGTGCTCTCTCTCTCTCTGTCAAATAAATAAATAAAATCTTAAAAAAATAAAAAAATAAAAAATAAATAAAATACAAGGGATATGAACTGATAAGCAGTTTGGTTCTGAAATATACAATGAAACTAAAAGTGATGACAAGATTTATCTTTATTTAGAAAAAAACTTTTATTTACATAATACTTGATGGTCTATTAGATACGTTTAATGGTTAGTTATCCAATTAAAAATTATACATATTTAGGAGCGCCTGGGTGGCTCAGTCGTTAAGCATCTGCCTTCGGCTCAGGTCATGATCCCAGGGTCCTATGATCAAGTCCCGCATCAGGCTCCCTTCCCCGTGGGAAGCCTGGTTCTCCCTCTCCCACTCCCCCTGATTGTGTTCCCTCTCTCGCTGTCTCTCTCTCTCTGTCAAATAAATAAAAAAATCTTTAAAAAAAAATTAAACATATTTAGTATCAAGAAATAGAGACTTTGGGTGATGGATTTCTACCATCAAGTGCAGCAGTACAAGAATTAAATGGGTTAGTTTTTGAGTTTGATATATCTTTATATACCCCAATTCCTTATCATCATAATTACCATTTATTGAATGAACATATCTCAAAAACTTATGTAAGCACTTTGAAGTATTTAAACTTAACCTACTATTATTATTCCCATTCAGCTGGAAAAACTGAGACATTGAAATGTTAAGGGACTAGATCAAAGTCACAGACTGTGGGGTCAAACCCAATATCCTCTAGAAATTTTACTCTGTTACTACTGTTATTTATGGGGCCCTACATTGGATTCTGACAGAAAGGAATGAAGGTCATATTTTATTAGGATGAAAAATGAAACTGGAAAACATACCAATTTTCTGTATTTTTTTGTAAACCAATTTTTACAGCATTATCTGGGCTTATCAGAGCTTAAAAAATGGTATTTTGAGATCGTGATAACATAGTAATTTACCACTACACTGTGACTTAAATTTACATTTTGAGTCTCTAAGTAGTATTTTTTTTTTCTAAGCAGTATTTTGATAGGAGCCTTCTTTCCAGCTTAATCCCCTTGAGCAGGCTATGCTTGGGAAAGGTTCTCTCTTTTTCAGAGCCAACCAAACTTACAGAAATGACCGGGCATAGTGCATGTGGCTCCTAATTTATAAAATCAGTGACTAAGTAGTAAGATTGATCTTACAAGAAAAGGTTTTAAAATGTGGCCTCATTGCCATGTTACTCACTTAGAAATATTTAATGGAGTTCCTCCAGGCACTATTCTAGGCACTAGAGATAGAATGATGAGCCAAAATCTCTGCTCTTCTGAAACCTTTATTATAGGTGCATTATATATCTGAAGGTTATAGTCAGATTTTTATTAGCAGCCTAAGGTATAAAACTTGGTCTGTTACTTAAAATATCTGCTGTCCATTTCAGGAGATGGTCTGAGGAGATGCTCCGCGAGAAGGAGGCACAGCGCCCGTGGTCCTCTAACTTGACCATCCCAGGAGAAATTCCTAGGGAACTTGTTTAAAAAACCGATTCCAGGGCCCCACCTCCAGGAGTCTGATTCTGAGGTGAGGTGACAAAAACCCTCTATTTTTATTTATTTATTTTAAAGATTTTATTTATTTATTTGACAGAGAGAGAGACAGGAGAGAGGGAACACAATCAGGGGGAGTGAGACAGGGAGAAGCAGGCTTCCCACGGAGCAGGGAGCCCTATGCGGGGCTCGATCCCAGGACCCTGGGATCATGACCTGAGCTGAAGACAGACGCTTAACCGATTGAGCCCCCCAGGTGCCCCAAAAACCCTCTATTTTTAACATGAACCTCACTTAATGCTGATCTAAGTGATCTGAGGTCCAAACTTTGAGAAACCCACCAGTAAGTGGAGCCATTCAGAATAAAATGATTATTCAGAAGAGAATAGCTCTGTGGCAGTGGAATTTGAACTGAGTAACATAAACCCAACCCTCCTGTAATTAGCTCTGTATAATTCACAAATCTAGCAAATTTAAAAAGATGAGTAAGAATGGAGCAATTTACCAGCACCTCCTCCTTTACGTCTTATGGGAGATTTGAATTTGCCTCAATCTAGGCATTTGGTGAAAAGATGAACCTGAGTTCTACCAACAGAAGAGACAATCATTAAGAAAAAGAAATTTCTAGTCAACTGCAAAAAAAAAAAAAAAATGCTAAGAGGGACAAACAGTTCACAGAACTAACTTGCTACCACTCATTTTATGCCCTATTTCACAATGCTTAGTATCTGAACAATCCACAGGGTTCCAAAGTACATCAAAAATTTGTTCATTTCCTCTCCTACTCAGGCAGAATAATAATAATAGAGTATTGTGAAGGTGCCATGTGCCTCAGCAATTTCAACAGATACATTCTTAGATAAAGAAATACCATTTAAAAAAAAATCTATCAGAAATGCTCCTTAGTGGAGCTACTTCAATTAGTTTTAAATAGTTTTAATGCCACCACTAAATTAGTATCCCTCATTTCCAATTTAGATTAGTTAAAAGTTCCTAGGTTCTTTACCAACCTCCTACAGAAAAAATTCCCTTCCATATTATAATTCTGTGCATTTTTAGTTATAATAAGCAAACACCCACCAGTACAATATAACTGTGTCATGTAAACTAGAAAAAAAATTTTAAGGAAAAACATAGCATTTTGTTCTCAGAGATAGGTAGAAATCCTAACTTTAAGGGAGGGTTTTAAGTTTCTGCACCTTAAATCATCTAAAAATTAAGGTATCCAACAAACACATCCCTCCCATTTTAGAGGTTGAGAGTAGCACTTCACAAACCAGCTGGCCTGCTGGTCCTGGCCCCAGTTCCTAACCTCAGATCCTGTCCACTACCTAATCCATGAGATCTCTGAACCTGTTCTTCATGCGTTCAAAGGGATTAGTAACATTGCCTCTCCGTTAACGGAATTGAGGTTTTCCAGATGCATCTGTCTGTATGATATGTTTTTATTATCTGTTCTTCTTATTGTACTTGCTTATATTATTTGTACGTTTGACCACGGAAATAGCAAGAGTAGGATCCAGGAGATAAGCACAAAGAAACACATCTGTCCGGAGTGCGCATATATTTAAAATTTCAGGCTGGTGCTGCTTCCAGAATAGCACTGATGATGACAAAGTTCTAAAGGAAACTTTCGTATTAAGAGGCTATCAAAAATCTCCATAGCCGCCCACTCAACAGAAAAAGACGCTAATTTATTTCTTCAAAAGCAAAGCCTTCTTTAGTCTGAATCACAACAAAAGATGCCCATAGGAAGTGTTATCTGCGAAGTTGTTTTCTAATCCAAAGGAAAACAGAAGTAAAGGAAGGTGCAACCCATTCCTCGTCAGTTTCCCTTTCCTGGGGATTCTGATTACATTTCCTCATTGAAGCAAGAAGAGACCGCAATTGTGCGCTGGGTCCACACCATAAGACCGCGTCTGTGCGTAAAAAGGGAAGGAGAAGCGGCAGACCCCGGGGACGCGCTCCCACCTAAAGGAAAGCCGCTTTCTGTTAAATACCATCAGAGTCAGCCCCGGCGGGACGAAACGGCATTGACTGCCCTTCACTGACAGGGATTTTGCAGGCACACGACAGAGAAAAAGAGATGAGCCGGGGACTCGAGGCCCGAGGGAGAGGCAGGCGGCGCGATACCGCTCCCCGCGAGCTCCGGATCCCCGAGAGGCTGGCGGGGAGGCGAGGCTTGGCCAGCCCGCCACGCTCAGGCGGCCGAGGGCAGCGAGGTCAGCCCTGGAAGGGCCGACCGCCCCTACGCCCCCTGGGGAGGGAGGGACCCCACTCGGCCAGCCAGGGCTGCGGACGCCCATTCAGCCCGAAGCCCGTCCAGCGGCCGCCACCCCCTGGGCCGGCCGCGGCGTCCCGGCCTCCCGACGCGGATCAGTCGGTCAAGCGGCCGCCCCGCTGCCACCCCCGGGAGGATGGGGAAAGCCGAGGCGCAGGGGTGGCCGGTGCCGCGCCTCCCGGGCGCGCGGCAAAGGCTGAAGGGCGGCCCGAGGGACGCGCGATGGCCCGGGGGACGGGCGCCCCGGGCGGCCATCGCGCCGACCCCCGCGCCGACCCCCGCCCCCCGCCGCCTCCCCGTCCTTGCCGCCGCCGTCCAGCCCGCCCCTCACCTCATCTCCAGGCGGGTCCGCGCTGCCGCCCCAGGGACAAATCAGTGCAGCTCACTCGCCGCGGGGAGGGACGCAGGAGCCGCAGCCCCGCACACCATCCCCGCCCGCCTGCCCGCCTGCCCGTGCGTCCCGGAGCCCGCTCGGGATTCTCCCTCGCGAGCCGCCGTACTACGGAGCAACCAAGCTGCGCTCCCTCCCCTCTCCTCCGCTCTTCTCTACCTCCTTCGCTCCCTCCCTCGCTCCCTCGCTCCCACCTATCTCCTCTTCTCCCTCCTCTGCCTCTCCCGCCCTCATCCACCCCCTCCATCTCCGCCCACAGATGGGTGGGAACCAACTGTCGGCCAATCGGAAGAAGAGGCCCGCACCCCCTCACCGCCCCCTACCGCTACGCCCGCCCACCGCAGGAACGAGGGAGGGGGCAATTAAAAAAATGGAAAAGGACGGAGTGACAGCCAAATTAACCAATCAGCAAGCGCAAAGGGGGTGGGACTAGGACGGACTTTTCTCCCCACCCCCTTCCCAGAAGGCGTAACCAAAAGCTTCTGGTCTGAGATTTCCCTAACAGGGCTTATGGAGATTTTGTTCCATGGTTTTGGTGCATCTGTCCGTTGTCGTGCGAGGCACTAATTAGGATGCACTCAGCTACATTAGTTACAAAAGGTTTTAAAGGAGAGAACAACGTAGAGGCGAAAAAGACGCGGGTTACAGTCTAGGGACGGCGGTAGGGCAAACGGTTGGAATGAGGAAGGGTGTGGTCTTTAATGGAAATTTGCATAAAACGGAACCTATCCGGGAGACTACAATTTCGCCCATTTATTGGTAGCCCCTGGCGCGACGCTTCTCCTCCAGGCGGTGCATTCCGGGAGATGTAGTTCCGAGTTCGGTTGCTATGGCGTTCTCCACAGCCTCCGGTCCAGGAGTGACGAGCAGCCTGACCAATGGGAGCAGCGCTTGGGCCAGCGGGGGCGGGCCCTCTGCAAAAGGACTCCAAGGTGGCGGTGGGGAAGACGCAGGCCGTTGGGGCGGCTCGGAGGCAGGTGAGCTCCCAGACCCGGGTTCTCTGTCTTGGGAAGCGGGGCTTTGGGCTTTGGGCGCCTCGCGGAACCGTGCAACCCTAGGGTGAATGGTGGTTGGTGTTGCACCCCAACCCCAGACCCCCTCAGGCCCGGGCCTAGCTTAGCTGAGGGGCGGCAAGGACTTGACTGACGATTTCCTGGTCCTTACAGGTTTTGATTGTAGGTTTTAGCTCAGTTTGCATCTCCCTCTACATTTATAGAACCAAAAGTCGAAGTTCCCTCCACTGAATCTCCCAGGTTGGATTTTTGTCCCCAGCTTTTGTTGTTGTTCCTATAATCTGAGTTTCTTTTCTTCCGTACTCCTCTGCCACCGCTTTTCCCCCCCTTCACTTTCCTTTTTCGGTGAACAATTACCTAAAGCAAGGGTATTCTCATTTACATGATTATACGGCCAGGTTTGCCCTCTTAAGATAAACAGCGAGAAACTCTGGAGCTATGCGTGACAATCACCTCAGAATCATGTTGAAGTGCAGATGCTGAATTTGTAGGGCTGGGCGGAGCCCGAGACTCTGCATTTCTCACAACCTCCCGGTGACTGCTAGTCCACGTTCTGAGTAGCAGGGTGTTCTACATCAGCTCTGCTCAATACAAATACAATGCGGGGCACTTAATTTTAAGTTTTCTGGTAGCCACATTAAAAAACATGAAAAGAGGCGCGCCTGGGTGGCTCAGTCGTTAAGCGTCTGCCTTCGGCTCAGGTCATGATCCCAGGGTCCTGGGATCGAGCCCCGCATCGGGCTCCCTGCT